CATTGAATTCCAAATTGTCCCTTGATGACCATATAGAAGCACCATATAAGAATTTGAAGTTAATACAATTATATAAAACATCAAGACAAATGACAAATTATTATTAGAGGCAGACAAAAGAGAAGTATTATTTATGGCTGGGACTATGTAGAGAAAATTTTTCCAGACTCACAAACGTGTTTGGTCTTCCAGATCATAAGGAAGGTGTCCTCCTTAAAATTATTGTGAATAATAGAGGCATTGTGATGCCTAAAACATCACGATTTATTTGTACTTAGCTAGAGCAAATATCATAAACTTGGAACTTTTCTATAAGGAATTCTTACGACTTTGTAAAGTTAATTGATGATCGGACGACAGAAAGAAAGATCTCAAAATATATAATCAGGATTCGCGCAAATGTATGGAGTACTCCGGCCGTGCATAATAAAACAATGAAATAAGTAACAGAGTATTACTTGTATAAAGCTACATGCGAGGATTCGGAATTGGGGAAATAAAGGAGATGGCCAAGTGTGTTGTTAATGTAAGAGAGCAGTGCTCACTCACAGAGAGTCACAACTGTCAAAAGGCGGTGACCCTGGCTTAAGGACTTTCTGGCTTAAAATGCTTTTGTGTACTTCGAGCGTCTCGTTCTGATTGGTTCAACAAGGAGGCAAGATGCAGTGGCTAGGTTTGCTTAGTCAATGCTGGATAGTGTCATTAAGTCATGGTCTGAGTGGTGTTACGTGAGTTGAGGGATAACTGGTTACTGGCTGGTTGTGACGAGAGTTGTAACAAGACTAACTGTGGAGTAAAGTCACTACAATCTAATAAATAGTATCTCATTTACTTCATTACATTAAAGTTTACTGTTTACAGGCGTCACCTCGTGGTTCTTTCAGCACAGAAAAAAAATCCTAAGCCAATCTTACTTGACTATCTGTGCCAAAATCTGATTGATCAATCCTCTTCTAGCAGCCTCAGCTGACCAACTCAAGTCCTCGAGACTCCGAACTCGACCGGCGATCGAACGTCCAGACAGCCAGCAGCAAGGCCAATCAAGCCTGCTTGTTACTTTCGCAGGCGGCAGCCTTAAGCAAATGCATAAGCCCTGGTCACCGCTCCTAGTTTTCGAATCGTCAGGATCATATCCTCGCAGTCGCCCAATTTCCGCAGCTCCGGAAGTTCGTGGCTTGCGTTTCCCGTGCCAGATTAATCCAAAAGTTAAGTCGTCTGGATAATCTAGTTTCTCTCTCTGCCGATCGCCGACATCCACAGAAGGGCAAGAGGCTTTACGATGTCGACATTCAGTACAGTAGCATTTACGAGGCGAGAACAAAAAGGCTACTTGGTCATACAGCCAATGGACAGCGGCAACACCAACAGGACCGGGTACAAATCTGACTGTGCTCGAGCCCAGACTAGCTATTCTGATTGGCTGTGTGCTACAGTTCATCAGTTGGTAGGTTGTAAGATCCATGTGATCGGGCGATTGCCAGCTATTCTTAGTCTTTGAAGGTGAGTTCATTAAGGCAACTAGACGCCTTGGTTCGGGATAGCATAGCACCAAGCTATAGACGGGGTCGCACTTGCGTTTAACTCCTGGCAAGTGATTTAAGTTGGAGGAATTTACCACCTCTTTTGTAATATCCGAAACAGGTTTCAACCGCTGCATCCTTACCATACTAAGAGTTCGGCCATCTCGGAGGATGGCCGTGGCCAACACAGTATAAAAGGTATCCAGCGGAAGGCGATACCGTCGCCAAGTAAATTTGTTTTCACTCTCCTGCTCACCCTCCACATTTTCCTGTTGTTCTAAACGTGGAATCTTCCAACAGGGCTCTGTCAGCTGAAGTAGGAATGTACCTGCACGTGTGGCAAAGGTCAGGCTGGAAGCATCTGCTGCCACATGCACTGCTGGGGTAAGTAGGCGCTCACCTCTCACCACTAGTCGATCAGGTCTGTCAGTTCCGCCTAGTCTACCGATGTAGAGGCGTCGATGCCGATGGAGCAGGGCAACAACCCAGTCGCGAGTAACAAATTCGGGACTTGCTTGT